CTTTCCCTGTCTTCTTTTTTTGTTCTTTCTCCTCACACCATTCTCTGGCCATTCCTGTATCGGGCTTGGCCATGACTTACGGTGGGGCCAGCAGACCTCTTCAGCCAAGTGGCCAACTCAGGCAGCCAGTGTGACCAACGCCACCTTGGTGTCCTGCTTCATGAGGCCATTCAGGTGCCCCGTCAGCTGGGGGAAGTGGCGGCCTTTGGGGGCAGCAACGTGGAGCCCAGCGTCCGTAGTTGCTTCCGTTTTGTGAGTATGGAACTGGGGAGGGAGGAAAGGAGGAATGATGGGACAGACGGTGGGAAGAAGGGAGGGAGGACTGAGAGCTGGGCTTTTGATCTGAAGTACTCAGATGCAAGGGAGTTTGTTGGGCTGGAGCGACAGGGCAGAGGGTTCTCTGGGCTTTTAGGGTCAGGGTCCTGAGGGGAAGGCACCAGGTCAACTAGGACAGGGTAGAAGGTGGACACCTCTGGAGAACAGTCTAACCCAGAGTCCAACCAGGTCTTGCTGTTTCTCCTCCTCCCCTGAGGGCTGCCATTCTGGGCCCAGGACACTGGGCCTCAGACATCACTACTGGGCTTCTTGTTTCTCTAGAGCACTGGGAAGCCAGTCATTGAAGCTGCACAGTTCCTGGATGGGTCAACCTTGGAGCCCCAGTCCATGGTGTGGCTGGCTGTTCTGCATCGGGTCACCATTGCTGAACAAGTGAAGCATCAGACCAAGTAGGGAAAGCAATACCTGCTGGAGTGATACTAATAATAAATAGGCCATGTTACATATAAACCATATATTGCAAAACAGGGCATTACATAATTATATAATTACAACTAATCTATTGTATGTTGTTATATACTGTTATAATCCTTTCTACTGCAGAATGTTTAACTTTTAAAAAACTCAAAAATTATGAAATTTTTTTCTGTTTGTTGTGTTATGAAGTATTCAGACCTATAAAAATGTATAGAGAAGCAAAAGGGGGTGGGGTGGGAGAACAGCACAGAAAGGGAAGTAATTTGTTCATTGTTTCCCAGGGAGCATTAAGTAGAACCCAGAAGCCCCAGCATCCTGACATATGAGAACACCTACGCACCAAAAGGTGTGCTGGCAAATGTGCTACTCTCTAGAAAGCAAAAGAGAAACGTGATATAGCATTGGCTAATTTCCATGATGTAAATACTCCCACTGTGGCCAGTGTCAGGCTACCCATAGGAGGTCAGGAAGAGACACACAGTTGCACACCATTTATAGTATTTCCACCACCAGGTATAACAGATGTAGACAACCTCAAGAGCATAGATAATAGTGAAATAGGAAGTGATGAGTTTGAGTATTTATTACCTTTGTTTTTAATACCATTTGCTTAATTGTGAGTTTATACAATTTAATTTTTAAATAATGGCTATATTTAACAACTGGCTTGGAAAATTCCTGAAATTTTAACAACCAGCTCTCATGAGCTTGTATGAGCAGGCTCTAGCACCCCATGGTGGGCACCCACCACCAAGCTGAAGAAACAAACAATATTTTACAATATATTTATATATATTATATAATATATTTATATATCTACGAATTTATATATTATATACATATTTTATATAATATATAAAACAATATAATTGAAGTTTCCTTGATTACATTTCCCTCCTGTCCCCACAAAGGTAGCTGCTACCCTGAATTTGGCTTTCATCATAAAATGCTTGTTTTTACCACTTTAAAACACTAGCACATACTCTCTTTACAACCACCCTGCTTTTTATAAGCAAATGAGGCACAGAGGTGTTCACACTTCTGGCTAGTGTAGCTCCAAGATAAGATATCAGATCCTCTGACTGCTCTAAGTCTAGACATTTCACCATGCTATGCTATTAGGTCTGTGCAGTCCAATTAGGCTTTGGAATTGGATCTGAAGGGCTAGTCTATATTCAGTCATATTAGAGTTATTATTATAAATAACTTTGGGGAATAATTTTTAGCCAACTTGCCCACGGCTGATAGAATCAGTTGTCTTCATATTGAAAGTGTGCCTTCTCCAAGGAAGGTGGTCATACCTGTGAAACTGGACCCTTTCAGGCCACCTTTGTTTAGAAGGTTATTTGATATAATGAGCTTTTTACCCCGTCCCACCCTCCCTTTTATTTTTTATTTTTTTCATTGAAGTATAGTTGATTTACAATGTTGTGTTAATTTCTACTGTACAGAAAATTGATTCAGTTATACATATATATATATTTTTTTTATATTCTTTTCCATTATGGTTTATCATAGGATATTGAATATAGTTCTCTCTGCTATACAGTAGGAGCTTGTTGTTTATCCCACCCTTCTTTTTAAAAAAGATGGTGAGACAGGGCTACTTCCTGAACTTCCTGGCATTCTGAGCATGTGATTTCATGGAGATTTGTGGTCTCTGGAGTAAGACTAGTTATCTAGTGAGGACTCTATCACTGCTATGCATAGGAGGTTAAGTGCTCCGTGTATAGGAGGTTACGGTTCCATGCCTCACCCCCTTTTAATGTATGTGTATATTTGGATGTTTGGGGGAGGGGGAGGTCATTATAGTATATTGCATCCTCTTTCCTACCACCTCTCCTTTCCCCAAGGTATCGGAGTCTGAAACAATTTAACGTGGACATCTGCCAGACCTGCTTCCTGACAGGCAGGGCCAGCAAGGGCAACAAGCTTCATTATCCCATCATGGAGTATTACACCCCGGTATGGAGCCTCTGGGCCGGGCGGGAGGGGCAGGCAACTCTCAGCTTCTGGGTGCTTGATCCATTTTGTCCAGCATTAGCTCACTGTATTCTGCTCTCCGTTGGGGAGCATCCTCCAAACAGGCCTGATGATTGACCAATTTGGGGGATCCAGGGCTGTCCTTCTAGCAGAGCTTCTCCCTCACCCTCACCGGGGTGGTAGCTGGCTGCAGCAGCCCAAGACATTCTTGGCCATCTAAAAGGCACTCACTATTCTCCTGCAGAGAGAGGTCTCAGGAAAAAAATAGAGACAGCAAGGCAGTTACAGGTGACTAGCCTTCGATCGCTCAATTTAGTTTTTCCTGCTTAGCTTCCTGGATTGTTTCTGCCCCCTGGTCTTCACCTGCTACCTTGTCATTGCTTCCATCCCTTCTAGTCAATACCAAAGTTTGTGCTCAACTTCATTACTCAGTCTCTTGCGTGAAAAGGGGGTACGCTCTTTACTTGGGTCCCCAAAATCAACTGGGCTTTCATTGAAAACTGTGCCCTTCATAGCCTCCTGAGCCCAGCATCCCTGAACTCCAGCCACAGAATTTCTCCTCTGCTATGTTCAGGACTCAGACCTCCAGGCTTAGCTTCCTGAGCTGACTCTGCTCCCTAAACTCCTTTATTCCTCTCTCCCCACACATTCTCCCAAAGTCCCAAGCATATCCCCAGCTCCCCACACTGCTCTCTCCCATCTTACCTCCCAATCTCCATAATCCATCTCCCTGAGCTGTCATCTCTTCTCCAAGTTCTGTTGACACAGAAACATGTGTGACCCAATGGAAGCAGTGACCTTGACCTTTATTTTTCTTTTATTATCATTTTAAAATAAACATTATTAACGTCATACATGGGAAACTGGCTAGAGATGGTAGACTGATAATTGTCTAGCTCCTGCTCATCTTCTACATCCCTAGAATTTATGTAAAAGATATTTAAAAGTTAACAAACATACGATCATTGTAAAAGATTCAAATTATATAGAGGTGTTTAAAGTATAAAACAAAGTCCCCTTTTCTCCTCAGTGCGTTCCCCACCCCTCAAGTCTAACTTCCCTGAGGCAAGCAGTGTTCACTGTTTGACATGTATCCTTCTAGATCTTTTTCTAGGAGCGAGGTGTGGTAAATATGAACAAGAGTGGACTACCAGTCATGGTCCGTGCTCCAGGGGAGTGGCCACACCTCCCTAGAATAGCCCATTAGGGTGAGTCCCTCTATCTTGTCTCCTCCCAGACCACATCCAGTGAGAACATGAGGGACTTTGCCACTACCTTAAAGAACAAATTCCGCTCAAAGCATTATTTCAGCAAACACCCTCAGCGAGGTTATCTGCCTGTGCAATCAGTGCTGGAGGCTGACTACAGTGAGACGTGAGTACCGGTAGCTGAGCAGGGGCTGCAGGCATCCTCATTGAGCCTAGGGATGTGCTGTGAAGGGGCTGAGTCTCACATGGGCTAGGGCAGTCTTCCAGGGCAAACCCAACTAGTGACAGGGCAGTTCAGCTGGGGCCGGACCAGGAATCTGACTGAGAAACAGACTAGAATCCAGTCTCTGTATCTTGTTCCCATCAGCTCTTGGGAGCTCCCTAATTTGGTGGTGGTGTTGCAGGGTGTGGAAGGGTGGTGGTGAGGAGACAGGCTGCCCAGCTACCCAGTCTTTGGTCTTCTGAGTCTTTGCTGCTTTCTTCTAGGCCAGCTTCTTCCCCGATGTTGCCACACGCTGACACACACTCCCGCATTGAGCATTTTGCCAGCAGGTACCACCAGGTTTAGGGGAGGGGAATTGTAAGGAGTCCAAGGGGGAAAGGAGTTTTCAGTTGGGGCAAAGACAATGAAGTCAGGGCCAGGGGAACGTGCACAGTGGGCTTTGAAGCAGCCAGCGAGGCCTAACGTTTGGGGTGGGGGAGGGGGAATTGGGACAGCCCCCCAAACGTGATTATCCTACTGTGGGATTACAGTCCTTGAGATGAAAGCAGTCTTCACATACTGTTTTCCCTTCTGTTCCTGCTCTTTCTTCCTAGGCTTGCTGAGATGGAAAATCAAAATTGCTCCTTCTTTAATGACAGCTTGTCCCCAGACGACAGCATGTGAGTTTTCACAGATACATATTTGCCAGGAATAGCTCTCCTTTGGGATCTTTCTACCACTACTTGGGGGGGGTATATCCTCAGTGGGAGGTGGAGGGTGTGTGGATAGGGTCCCTGACACCCTAAGGAAGGAAGTCTGCTTTCTGAGCACAGTATTTAATGAGAGAAGCAGTCTGCCCTCTATCAACTGAGCAGGGTAATGAAGGATGAACTACCTCCCTGCCATCTGCCAAGGTCCCTTTCTGTTGCAAGATCCCATCCTTTTATTCCTAACTCTGAGGGAAGAAGAATATGCCCTCAACTAAAGTTGCAGAAATGAGCCATTATCTTATGCTCAAAATGCCAATGCCCCATCTAGTGCCACATCAACACTGGGGAGATACCAGGGACTTGACTGAAGTGTGGCCAGAGAGATTCCTTGGTGCTATAGCTCAGAGAAGGGGCCCTTCATCTCTAGGGAGGTCCCCGGGCTCCTCAGAGGACGTAGAAACTGTTGGCTACACGGATAAATCCAGCCCTGGAACTGGGACTCAAGCAGGCCACAATTCCCCTGGGGATGGGAAAGCGAAGCGGGGTGGGGTGGGGGAACATCACAGATGTTATAGTGACCTGCTCATTGTTTCCCAGGTCACTATAAGTAGAACCCAGGAGCCTCGGCATCCTGAAAACACTCTCTCCTACTACCCCCAACAATGACCCCTGCCTCCTTTGAACACTTTTATCCCTCTTAAACCTGAATACATGGCTTTTTCTCTCTCTATGTATCTTAGAGAGGGAATCCTCCAGCATGTGTTTCCTGGGGCTTGAGGTGGGAGCTGAGAACTCACACCCTGAGCTGTTTCTCAGTTCAATGTCTGGGCCCCTCTTTCCTCTCCCCACCCCCACACAGAGACGAGGACCAGTACTTGCTGCGGCACTCCAGCCCCATTACAGACCGGGAGCCAGCCTTTGGACAGCAGGCTCCGTGCAGCATGGCCACTGAAAGCAAAGGGGAGCTCGAAAAGATCCTGGCCCACTTAGAGGATGAGAACCGGTAGGTGTGGCAATGGCACAGATCTGCGTGGGTTCTAGAGTCAGACAGCTTAATTCAAGTTCTGAATTTCCACATCCTAGCTATGTGGCCTTGAACAAGTTACTTATATTCTGTGATCTTCCGTTTCCTCATCTGTAAAATGGGGATGATGATAAGAGTACCTACCTCTTAAGGTCACTTGTGAAGATCAAATGATCAGGCATATAATGTGTTAGCCAGTGTCTGTCTTATTGCAAGTGTTCAATAAAAGCTAGCTATCCTAATAATTATTTGAATCTTTTTAACTCAACCCAAATATCTCCAAGTACCCAACAGATACAGGCAGACAGAATGCAAACACAGAGAATACAGAAGATATGATGCCTCTGCCTTCAAGGAACTTTCAGTTGTTGGAAATGGAAAGAGGTCCTTATCACTTAGTGAAAGTAATAAGAGGAGGATGATACTGCATAGAGCATTTGAGGACTGGAAGAGGGAAGAAGATTATGGGGATGGCATTGACCTCTGTAAAGCATGGAGGGCAGCAGGAGTCTGAGGAGCATCCAAGACACTTTGGGGGTGTGTAGTAGAACCAATAACAACCCCCAGAAAAGTAATTCTCAAACATTAGTGTGCATACAAGTCACTTGGGAAGCTTGGTGAAATGCAGATTCTGATTTGAAGGTCTGCGGTGGGGCCGTAGTTCCTGCACTTCTAACCAGCTCCTAAAGGATGCCCATGCCTCAGGCCTACAGACTGTATTTGGATTAGCAAGTCCTTACACAGGGCCTGTCTGCAAAGTATTTGTTACTGGTTCAAGACAAGATAAATACATAAATAGAGAGTAAACTTTTAGAAATTTTCATAGCAATTTGACATGGCCACAATATCCACACACATAATTAGTGGACTTGTCTTCATTGAATTGGGTATAGGCCAGGTTGAGTGTTGTTGAATTTGGGCAGCAAGTCATGTGTGGTGTGAGCTGTGTACTAGCTATGCACATTCAGACCATGTATTGATCCATGATGGATAGAAAAATCCCCCTGTTTTTTTGCTATGGATAGTTTGAGAAGCACTGCACTAGAGCAGTGGTGGGGAGGCCCTGGGAAACACTAGGAAGAGAGTGATTCTGTTGCAAAAAAGAAAAAAACAGTAATGTCCTCCAAAGGAGACCAACTCTTTGGAATCTGTTTCCTTGATGACTCAACATGGGTGTTTAAAGTGGGTCAAAGAGGAGGGCAGTAGAGAGAAGAGGAAAGATGGGTGATCCTTTGTTTATGTTATGTCTTCCCCTGGAATCTAAAAATCTAAAAATGGAGTAGGTGAGTCAGTGGCCCTAATGCCTCATTTATTTGCAGACTGTGTTTCTGCCTGATTTTAAGGTCAGAATTAATCCCCAAAGCAGTACATCAAAGCCCTGAGACATTTGTTATATGAAATGTCAGCTCTCTCTGCTCTGTGGCCTAAGGATGGCAAAGTAAATGACATATGTGTTGTAGAGGAAGTGGATATGGCCATTCAAGCAAGAGCATGGCTGGGATGGACTTCCCTGGCCGTCCAGTGGTTGGGACTCCACACTTCCGCTGCAGCACTGCAGGGGATGCGGGTTCCATCCCTGGTCGGGGAACTAGGATCCCACATGCTGCGACCAAAAAAAAAAAAGCACGGCTTGGGGGCTGGGGTGGGGGTGGGGATGGGGGAGCAAAGGGATTGCTCACACCTAGGTATGAGGGGACACTGAGCCCTGGACAGTTGATACCCTGTGAAGGTCATTGGCTTTGGCCTCTCCATCCTTGGCAGGATTCTCCAGGGGGAGCTGAGGCGCCTGAAGTGGCAGCATGAGGAGGCTGCTGAGGCACCCACCCTGGCTGAGGGCTCTGCCGAGGTGGCACAGGACCACCGCAATGAGGAGCTGCTGGCTGAGGCCCGGATCCTTCGGCAGCACAAGAGCCGCCTGGAGACACGCATGCAGATTCTTGAAGACCACAACAAGCAACTTGAGTCCCAGCTGCAGCGCTTAAGGGAGCTGCTCCTGCAAGTGAGTCTGGGGCCAGGGGAAGAATCAGAGCAGCCTCCGAGCACAGACGGGCCGGGGAGAGGTGCTCCTTGCTCCTGGAAGGTGGCTGTTAGAAGACTTTTTAAAGAGAACTGGGCTGGCAATCAGGAAATTTGGGGGGAGGAATGGGCTGCTATATCACATTGCTTGGCCAATTCTCTTGTACCTAGCTTCCATTCCATCCTTGTGTGTTTACTCTCAAGCCACCGTGGGGCCTAGGGCACAGGGAGGGCTTTTGAGGGCTCACTTCCCCACAACCCATTTGGATCCGGTATTGAAAGAACAAAGTTCAAAGAATCATCCAAAACGTTGACTTTGCTACTTTGATGTTTGCTGGAAAGAAGCGAGTTTGGACATGCTTGGCAAGAGGAAGATTTTTGCTGTGAAGGGATCACTTGTTACTTTTTGTCCCTTTCCTCTTTGAGAGGTAGTGTATAGGATGTAGTGTGGTTCTGGAGTTAGACAGCCCTGAGTTTGAGTGTAGTGCTGCTGATTAGTGGCTGTGGGATGTTAGGAAAGTTACTTAGCCTCACTAAGCCCCAGTTCCCTCATCTGTAAAACAGGGATAAAAATATACCAACTTCATGGAATTGTGGTGAACGTCAAATGAAATAACACATTTAAACAATTTGGCATGATGCCAGGACTATAATAAACATTTCATAAATGAATAATTTATGAATAATTATTGTCATTATCCATACCAGGTAATACCACACTGTGCCTCTTCCCCAGATCCTCCAAGGGATGGCCTCTAGATGAATTCCTGAAGGTCTTAACATATGATATTATGTCATGAACCAAGGATCAGGTGTGCAACTCTACATTTCCAGAGGGAATTGCGTTCTAGATAGCTTAAATATAGCTGAAATGACAGCAAGAGATATTTAGGGGCAATGGCATCCTTAGAAGAACTGGGAGCCTTTGATACATGTTGTTGAAGGAAGAGGGTATTCAGTAATTATTCTAAGAAGTTTCGTGAAAGGGGAAACCACTGTTTGGGGCACCACCAAAAGCTTCTTAAAGTCCCAGGGCAAAGGGATGGGCATGATGTCTCTAAGGACCTTTCTAAGCTCAGGAGTCTGTCAAAGTAAGGTCAGGAAGGCAAAGCCACTTAAGTCATGCCTTACCTCTTGCTAGCCACATACTGAATCGGATGGCAATGGCTCTGCAGGCTCGTCCCTGGCTTCCTCTCCGCAGCAGTCAGAAGGCAGTCACCCCCAGGAGAAGGGACAGACTACTCCAGACACTCAAGCTGCAGGTGAGTTCCCCCAGCCCCTCCCAACCCCTTCCTCCATGACTTTGTCTTGCCCCAGGTCTCCTGCCTAAGGTTCTGCTAGGGCTGGGACTGGTTTCTCCTCATGGCTTTGAGCTTAGGGTCAGGGATGATTGGCTTATTGACTGATTCATTCATTTTATTCCACAAATGTATGTCGAGTACCTCATATGTACCTAAGCTTCGTGCCAGGAAGATACAAATGTTATAGGTTCACCTTCAGCCGGCAGCATCCTACCTCAGCCCCTTGGCCTCATAAGGGAATTTCTAGTTCTCTTCCCACATCTTTCTTCTCCAACTCAGATGTTGTGGGGTCAAAGAGGCAAGATGTCAGCCTGTGCTTGGAAGACATTATGGAGAAGCTCCGCCATGCCTTCCCCAGTGTGCGAAGTTCTGATGTGACTACCAACACTCTGCTGGCCTCCTGATGGAACCAGATCCCCATCCTATGGTCCACGGTCCTCTCCCAGTTCTGGTCAAAGCCTTCCCTCAGCCTTCACCTAACCTTTCCTGTCCCCACTGGCCCCACATTCCTCAGCCGGAGTTATCTGGGCTCCAGGCAGCAGCAGGGATTCTATGGTATGCGAGGTGGGTGTGTGAGGGCTGGGGGAGGGAGAGGCATGATTCCTCTGACTCTAGAAATGTGCCCTTTAATCTTCAAGTTTGAGATCAATCCCTTAAGTACAATTCTGTTGCAGCCCAGGCTAATGGCACTTGGAGGCCATTCAGATGGGGAGCAGAGAAGCTGCCTTGCAGAGTGAAGCAGTGCCCATTGGCCCCTTTCCATTCTCCATGGAATGATGGATTTGGGGGAGCCTAATGACCCGAGGGCTCCAGCACTGTGAACACATGGGACTTAGCCCTACTCTCTGGCCCAACACAGGGAGGTGACACTGAAGACACTCCCGCTCCCCCCACAAAGTGCCCCTGAAAAAGTCTGGGCAACGTGTGTCATATAACTTCAGCTCAAAGGCATAGACCTAGTCATCCCAATGCTACCTAGATGCTGTTTCCTCCTTGAATATCTTCAGTTCCTTCTGCCTCAGTCCCTGGCAGACCTTTCTCAAGGGGGGAAACAGTTCATTCAGGTTCCTATTTTCACCTTATATTGGGAAACATTAAAGAAATACTTATGGGCTTAGATATTTTCCCCAGATCCTCCTCTTTCCTGAAAACCTCAGCATCCCAAGAGACCAGCTGAGTTGCTCTGGGAACCCAGCTGAAGCCACCCTTGGCTCTTCTGATTTGGCCTTCACAGCCCTGGGGGAGGGCCGGCAGCTGCTCAGCAAGGGGGTCTTGTCCTTGGGTGAGGAAGGGGAAGCCACCCTCTAGACTGGAGGAGCGTGACCACCCAACACCCTTTCAGGCTGTGACCCTTCTTTCTCTTAGGCTGAATCAGATGAGGTGGCTGATATCCCCCAGCTAGTCAGAAGGCAGATGCAACAGGCCATCCTGAATAGCAGCCCTTTTCTAGTATCCACAGGCTACAGATCAGGAAGTTGGCCACTTTCCACAGAGACAACAGCAAGGCCTTCCTTTGCATAAAACCATTCTTTCTAACTCTGGAAGGTGAACCCACTCCTCAAACTGAGCTAAGTCTTCCTAGGCAACATATACCATGATCCCTTTATCCAGAAACTGTTCAGAGTAGATAGTGGGGGTGGGGGATGGGGGGTGGGCTTGGGGACTTTGAACATAGTCAGAACCCACTTAGGCAGCATTCTACCAAAAGGAGCTTTATAACTTAGAACTCTGCAATTGACTTAATTTGCCTAAGTTTATATACATACATACCTATCCTACATATCTACTGTACATCAGTACTCCCCTGGCCTCACTCACACATTAAATTCTAATACCTCTTGAAGTATTAATGTTCTGCCTTGCTCTTTGTTAGTCCCAGCCTCTGGTTGGGCAGACAGATGCCTCCTGGCTTCTCCCCTAGGATGTGTCTCCATTCATGTTTGAGGTGAGCTGTCCTCAAGACCAAAGCAACAGAAGCCTGTGGCCACAGAGGAATCTAACAGGAAGAGTTACTCTGCTCTCTTCATTCATTCCACACCTTGTTCCCTGGAGACCTGGGCCTTGGATGAATCTTCCTGGGCTCCTCTAAACAATGGTTCAGAGGCCAAAATAGAACAAATCCAAGCTCTACTCACCCCATGCAGAAAGGGAGGAACAAATAGCCAGGCTAAGACACAGAGAACATCCTCTTGCCCCTTCCAGTTTCTAAGTCTGGCTCAGGGCCTTAAAGAAAGTAGCAGTTGCTACCAAGGTCAGGAGGGTGTGAGACGGTTGGGGTGCTGTCTTATAATCAAGCAGTAGGCCAGTGGGTAGAACTGCTGGGAAGGTAGATTTATCTACTGCTGGGCAGGGAAGGCAGTGGCTTGGGTCCAGAAGCCAAGGATTGCCTCCTTCTAGAATCACCAGGGGGCACTAAGCCACAGGTTCAGGGTGTCAGACTTCATCATGACATCTGCCTTACAGCTCATGAGGTCTCTGGGCAGGAGCACTGGTGATGTATGGCGAGCAGGTGGCAGGTGGGCATCAAACACAGAGCCTGGACATCAGTTACTGGGGTCGGGCACGGGAGAGCTATATTTGTAGGAGCCTAGATTGTAGGTAGGAATAGTATAGAGAAAATTTGCTCTAGGACACAGAGTTCAGGGTCTTTGAGGCATATGCCTGCCTAAGAGAAAGTGGGGGCCCTGTCCTAGGGCTGTGGAGACTTACCTGCTCAGCTGGTAAAGAGGGCAGAGGTTATGAAACAGTCTTACCAGAAAAGTCCTGGAAAATCCTTTTCCTAACTGCTACGCCACCCGAGAGATCTTGGGCTGTTGAGGGCCTGTGGCAACTGCAGTGGGCCATGGTAGAGAAGACGTAGATCTCGTTATGTAGGATTTGTGCTATAGGTAGACTGAAGCAGCAAGTCAAGAGTTGAATTCTCAGTAACAGGGTCAATGACACTTAGTGGTCCTGGGTTTACCTTGATGCCCGAGGTGAGTATATCGCTTGAGAGTCCAGTGATAGTCACTGCAGCATGTGTGGAGAGTTTTCCCACAGTGAGGTAAATGGGCCTTTGGGCACTGTGAATTCAAATTAAGGTGGGATTTACTGAGATGTGTTGCATGTTGTTAAGCATCTGTCGTGTATCTTGTCTCCTAGAGGTACTGTGTGTGATGCTGCATAGTTTTTGGCCCCGTACTGGAAGGGTGGTGAAGGGAGTTGCTGGGTAGGCAACCTAATGAAAACCCCTGGCTTGTGGGATTAGCATCAGCGATAAGAAATGTGTTTGCTGGGGTTGTTGTCAAATAGTATTGGGGAACAGTTAGGATTGATAGGTAATGTATTCGCGACAGAATCTGGTAGAGGCCAAAAAACCATTATGAGGGTGCCTCTGCTTCTAGTGAGAGCAGAGTGGAGTCAGGTTGACTGGGAAATTATTAAGGAAGGCTGACTGGCTGGAGGACATCAGGCTGTTTGTTGTATGGTTCCTTAGAGAGGGTCCTACCCAGGAGGATATGCACCCTTCCCTCCAGAATGGAAAGGCCTTCAAATGTCCATTTCCTTCCAGGCCCAAAGTTTGGAGATATTTCCTTGTAGAGAAACCTGTTTGAGTTTGTTGTACTTTAGGAGCTGGGCTGGCAGGCCATGGTAATGCGAAACCCTGAGGCCAAGCAGAGGCAGATCCTGGGAGATGGTTTCCTTCCTGATGAATTTTAAGGAATACCCATGATGCTTGAGGTGTGTGTTTGGGATCTGGGCTCCATAGTCAGCTTTGGGCTAGAGCATTCCTTGAAGAGGCATTCTCAATGGCAGACTCACGGCCTCTGAGACCATTTCAGGCCAAGACTCTCATCAAAGTTCCCTTGACATAGGTGACAGATAACCAAGAAAGTAGCTACCTTAAGATGAACAGTCCTGGAGGAGAAAGTGGGGGCCCTACCCTAGGGCTGTGGAGACTCACCTGCTCAGCTGGGCAACTCTGTCTCTGGGCCTTCCTGCCAAAATCTGGCCCTGAGGACAAAGGAATACTTCAGCTCCTTCTTGTTCTTTAAACACCAATGACTGTGGGAGAGGGAAAGTCTCAAGGCCAGGGCTCAGCTCCCAGCCTCCATCTCCTCCCACAGCTGCCGCACTTGGAGGGGCACCTGCTCAATGTCCTTGCTGTCCCCAGGGCAGTCTTGAGGCCAGACCGAAGCCTGCGATGCTGCTCGCTGGCTCCAAGGACTGGTCACAAGGATGGGATTTGGGGAAGTGGCAAGGGCGGCGCACAAGTCTAGAAAAGTTTGGGATGAAGGGGTGGGGCTGGAGACAAATTAGTTAACTTTGCCACTCACTGTGGTGCTTTTCCCCTTTCCCATAAATTCTGCTTTGAAAAGAATAAATTCGTATTTGTTTACTTTGGTTCCTCTGGTTACACTCTTTGACTCTGACACTCCACATCTTTACCTTATTTGGGTGTGGGAGAAGAGGGTGGGGCCAAGAAGCCACAGGAACACTGCAAAACATAGGCCACCAGAAGAGTCCAGCACCTACAGGACAAGAAGACACCCCCACTAGCCCCATCCACCACTGTTACCTGGACTGGTCGCCTCTCAAAGCTCCACACAAATTAGCTAGTTATCAGCTTATGGGATGAGCTCTTTATAGCAATGGTTCTTCAACACCATCCTCATCAATCTGAGGAATTTTTCACCAGCCTAAAGCATTAAGAGAAAAATCTGGACAATGCAGTGAGTTTCCATAAAGTTACATATAATCAATTTAAAAGTCTATCCTTGGGCTTCCCTGGTGGCGCAGTGGTTGAGAGTCCGCCTGCCGATGTAGGGGACACGGATTCGTGCCCCGGTCTGGGAAGATCCCACATGCCGCGGAGCGGCTAGGCCTGTGAGCCATGGCCGCTGGGCCTGCGTGTCCGGAGCCTATGCTCCCCAACGGGAGAGGACACAGCAGTGAGAGGCCCGCATACAGCAAAAAAAAAAAAAAAAAAGTCTATCCTTTATTCTGAGATTATGGTTATATACTTGGGGGGGTGTTAAAATGTCCCTGTGAATTGGTGGCGATAGTTTTTTTTTTTTAATGCCATTTTCTGGCAAAATAAAACCCTGTCAGTCCCTCCTCCCCACCACCAATTTTTCTTTCTTCACTGATCTATAACATCACTGTCCAACAGAAATATAATGTGAATCACATATGCAATTTTAAACTTTCTAGCGGCCATATTAAAAAGGTAAAAATTAACAGGTGAGATTAATTTTACTAATATTTCGTTTTACCCAATATATGCAAAGTATTATCATTTCAACATGTATCAGTATAAAACCATTATTGAGATATTTTATATTCTTTCTTTTTTTACTAAGTCTTGGAAATTGTCAAGTAAGCTGACAGATTCAACTGGTAAAAAAGAACAGGAAACCCACAT